CAATTTGTCGATTGGTGTCGAATGCTCGAGAAAATCTGTCAGCAAATTTTTCTTTGAATGTCCATACTCGACCAGATGCTCCTTTATGGTACGTTCAGTTCTTTTCTCACCATTGCAGACAACGCAAGGGCACTGTTTCATGATACGATCTAAAATATGAATTTTACTTGAATTTGATTACTGTGCCTCTAAGTTTCATGCAACAAGAGTTAAGTTTTAGATAGATTAATCTACCAAGTTATCAGGAAACCTCCGAAGACAAATGAAAATACTTTTTTTGGAATCATTCGCTAGTGTACGATAATTACAGAAATACATCAATACACCACCCACCCCAAGCCGCGTGGAGGCTGATAGACCGTTTGGGGCTTTGACAGATAAATACATTGCAGTTCAGGGAAATTAGATGTTAATATGTTGTAAAATTCAGTTCTGATTATCAATGAGCGTGAAAACTGCCTGCAAGTTCTGGGTATTTATCTGTCACTTTTTACATTACACTATACATTAAATACATTACACATTAGATACATTATACATTATACATCGATTCATAGTTACAAGTTCAGTGAAAAGTTTAGTTGAAAGTTTAATTACAAGTTTAGTTGAAAGTTTAATTGCAAAATGATGATAAATCTTCTCAGAGAACACAATAAATCTATCTAAAATTTTTGAAACTGAAAGTTTTCTTGGCTGATTCTCTAGCCCTTTTCTGGGCCGCCTGTCTCACCCGGCTCTCAATAATTTTTTTTTTATTGAAATCTTTCAAATCAGTCAATTACATACAAGTTTACACAATGAATTAGTTAAATATAATATTGTCCTCTAAGCATGGATTGTCAAAGTTGAAATTGTCTCGGACAAAATGTATGTAACCAAAGGACCTGAGGGTCACCAAAACACAGATATTGAGTGCAAATGCAGCTCCTGCACAAGCATGGGCCCTTATAAAATTGTAATAAGTTACTTTAAACAAAATCACACACCCATTCAATCAATTCATAAAATATTGTGCTGTGAGATGAAATTGAGAAATATGTGAATGCAGACAGCAAGAATAGATAATCTTGAATAAACTATTTTACGGATTTGTTTCTATTGAATAGTCAAGTTCAGAGTCCGAATCCACCGGGATAATTTTCCCCCACATGTAAGTGGAAAGTTTACTTTTAAAATCAGTGATACTCTCTATCTCACGGATATCTAGAGGAATGTGATTCCACTTAGTGTGGGTCCTATAGAAGAAATTCTTGGCAAAAGCGTTGGAGCTTGCTCGAGGTGAGATAGAGCTTACAAAACATAGAGAGTCCATGTGACTATTTCTGAGCCTTGAGTGGCCTTGAAATGGTTGCAAATATGAGGGTAAAGTGACAGGTATATGTTGCTTCACAATTTTAAAGAAGAAGATGAGATCCAAGAAGTCAAAGCGGTCTTCAATCGGCATAATCTTCAGCTGTCTGCATTTTTGAATGTATGTGGATGGTGGATAACTCATATACTCCTCGTGAAGAATCCACTTAATAGCACGCTTTTGGAGGCCCTCCAGCTTGCTTATCTGGGATTTTGTGACTGGTCTCCATATAACCGAGCAATGCTCAAATAGGCTCCTCACTAAAGTGAGATACAGTACTCTACGACGATTTACGTCTTGGACAAAATAACAATTTCTTCTCGCCATGCCTAATTTTTGGTTTGCCTTAGAAAGGACTTTGGAGCACTGATCTTTCCAATCGAGATTTGATGTCACAATTACACCCAGATCCTTTTCATGATCAACATAGTCAAGTGTGATTCTTCCCATGGAGTATACAAAGTTAAAGAGTGGTAGGACACTAAGGAGGGAAACTGTTTCGGATATCCTTCCTGCGACGGTGAGGACCTTACATTTGTCGGGATGAAATCTCATTTTATTAGAAAGTGACCAGTCATGGAGATAATCAATGTCCTTCTGCAGTCGCAGGATATCAGACTCCGAAACAATCTTACGCCAAATTTTAGTATCATCGGCATACAGTGACAGTTGTGTGCCTGGTGAAATCCCCACTGATATATCATCAATGAACATAATGAACAGCAATGGTCCCAAAATTGACCCTTGAGGTACACCAGACTGGGCGTTTCTCATAGAAGAAAACTTGCCACTTATCAAGACCTGTTGTTGCCTGTCTCTTAGATAATCAGTGATGAATTTCAGTAGCCTCCCATCAATACCAAATTTGCTCTTTAGCTTAAATAATATAAGATCATGGTTAACCGAGTCAAATGCTTTGGCAAAATCAAAGTAGACTACATCTGTTCTCATATTTTCATTCAGTGAGAGCGCTAGGCTGTCGCACAGTCCTACAAGATTAGTTGCACAAGATCTCTCAGCTCGGAAACCATGCTGTTTGTCATTGATCATGCCATTAGTAAGTGCCAATAACTCATCTCTTATTATGCGTTCAAGAACTTTTGTGATTAAGCATGTAAGAGAAATTGGCCTATAATTTGAAACCTCATGTTTATCCCCTTTCTTGAATATTGGTACAATGTGCCCCAGTTTCCACTCCCTTGGTAGTGTCCCAATGTTGTAGCATGAATGAAAAAGTATTGATATAGGGTATGCGAGCCCAACCGCACAGTTTTTCAAAAGTTTCCCATGGATACCATCAGGTCCATAAGCTTTATTAGCATTAATATTGGAAAGGATTTTGCGAACCCTTCTGTGGTCAAATTCAATATCAAAGCGCCAATCATTAGAGTAATCTATATCTATGTCATAAGTTGATGCCTCAGAGAACTGCTCGAAGAAAAAGTCATTAAATAGGTTGGCCTGGTCTTCAGGGCAGTTGCGGACAGTGCCTTTGTGGCTTACAAACTCAGGGATCCGCTGACTAGCTGTCTTCGATTTGACATAGGACCAAAATTTTTTTGTTATTAAAGCACTATCATCAGATTCATTTAATGTTTCCCTCATTTTTTGAGCAACCACATTTTTGAAATTTTTCCTAGCAAGGGAGAATGCAATTTCAGCTCTATCACTTTTATGCCTTTCTTTATGTAATCTCACTTTCTTACGCCATGCATCATAACACTCCGAGTCAAACCATGGATCTTGGCCATCAGTCTTGACAGAGCATTTTTTAACAAATTTATCTGTGACATTAAAAAGTTTGTCCTTAAATTTTTTCCATCCAATTTCAGGTTCTGTGCCATTGAGCAATGCATCCCAATTCGTGTGTCGGAGTTCATGGTTTAGCCTCTCCCAGTTCACAGTCTTAAAGTTATAGCACATACGCCTGACTGGCTTCTTCCTACCAACTTTAACGTTGATCTTAAAATTGATGGGGAAGTGGTCAGACTTGCAAGCACTATCTCTCTCACCTACCATTAGGTCATTAATATTTGACACAGAGTTTGTGAGCAATAGGTCAAGTGTTTTGCCTTTGCAGTGGGTAGGTGTTAACACACATTGTTGAAGGCCTAGATCAACAAAAGATTCAACAAAAGATTGCTCAATAGGACAGGAGCTGGCCAGGGTAGACCAGGAAACTCCGGTCAGGTTAAAATCTCCTAGTATGAAGACTTTACTCAGTCCTCTTCTTCTGAGAAGAGTTTTCAAAGACTCAACAATTTTTTCATGATTTGCGGAGCCCAGTGTACCAACACGATAACATGTGCATACAACAAACTTAATTCCAGTGGATGTCTTAAATTCCACAGCAAGAATTTCTGCACCATACTTGAGATGAACTTCCTTTGAAGTTAGATCAAGGTCTGCTCTCACTGCAATCATGACCCCTCCACCATTCCTCCTAAACCGGGTTGGATTAGAAGGATCTGGTGGATGAGTTTTCTTCGATCTATCAGAGCGAAATATCTTATATCTGTCAGGGTGCAGAAATTCACTATCAGCAATAGAACTCTTAAACCAGGTTTCGTTAAGTATTGCAATATCTATCTTAGCCTCATTAAGATAAGTCGACACTTCAATGGATTCGGGTCCAAAACAATCGCTCGCACTGAAAGTGAAAATCAGTTGTTAATGATAGCAGAAAGTGTGCATTGCGCTCTTGTTAATCATCATTCTTACTTGCTCAAACATCTAGAAACAAAACGCAAAAAGTTTCTTCTGAACGTTCAGAAGGGAGATTTCTGCGATTTTAATCAGATAGAATTAACTTGTCTGAGCATTAAACAGTTCCTCAGTTGTAAATTTGTCTCTGACAGGTAGCACCTCAATGTGATCTTCTTTAAGGCTTACCCATAGCTTGAACTGTTCCGAAAACTCATCGAAGTCTGACCCACTATTATAGGTTCTTTTATAACTCGTCGCCATTTTAGTATTTGATAGCTTAGAAGTGAAACCCGCTTATTGTAGTAGGAACTATGGTCATAGGAGACTAAGGAATAAATATACATTAGTTAATAAGTTACATAATAAATTACCATGGTGGTTTCAGGTCCTGCGATGGTTCGACAACCACCTATGGCTCCGGAAAGCTCTTCGTTCATTTTCTATAATAAGAATACAAATTATTGCGGAACAATTCAAACATGCTACATCATCTATCTTCTCTTTCAGGAATATTGATAACATTATTATTTTTAAACAAAATAACAAATAATTTAACTCATTATCCGCCGTCCCCTTTATGGGGGCTTAATAACCCTTAATAACTAATTTAGAGGAACTATAGTTTCCACTTGTTTCCAGTCACTCTATAACTCTATATCTAGCGGCTCCATCTTCTCAACTTTTACATATTACTCCAGTGGCAGGGAGGAGCTGAGTGCACTTTCCCGGAGTGCTGCATGAAGAAGTACATAGTAATATTAAAGAAGTCCTATACTACCTTTGCATTTCTTATCGCATTAAGGATCACAAATAAAGTTTTCATAGTCTTCTTCACCTCCTCTTTTGAGTCCATATCATCTTGTTTCGGAAATAGTGCTGCAAATTTTAAGTTATTTAACTAAATTTCAATCCCATATAAAAAACATACAAAATACACAAATATTCAAGCTTTCTTCTTGGTGATGAACCACTGGAACACAGTAGACTCCTTGATCCCAACCATCTTGGCAACCTGTCTCCGGGACCCAGATCCAAAGTGTTTGCTCCTCAGGAAGTATTGATTCAGCTCCTCCTCCTGCTCTGAAGAAATCCCCCGTGTTCTCCGTCTAATCCGCTCTGATCTTCTGGGTCGAGTAGGTGACTGCAGTGATAGAGAAGAGAAGGCCAGGAGAGAGGGGGAGGTCGGTGAGGTAAAGACCTGGTCTGAGGGGGATGATGGTTTAGGTCGATGGGGACCAGAGAGTTTAGGTGGTATGGTAGGAGTGGTAGGGGTTTTAGGTTCGGATCCGTTGGGTTGAAGGTGGGGTCTAGAAAGACGAGGTGGAGGTGTGGTTGGAGGTGGAGGAGAAGTAGGATCAGTTAGAGTCAGTTCCTTCATCTCGATGTCGAGGGTAACTGGAATAGGGCAGGGTCTCCGGGGTGTTCCATTGAATGCACTCTTCATGATGGTGAACGAGATTTCAGGGTCTGATTCGTCTTCAGGGTCTCATTAGTTTTCAAGGTCTGATTCGTCTTCAGCGTCTGATTCGTCTCCAGCGTCTGATTCGTCTTCAGCGTCTGATTCGTCTTTAGGGCTGGATTCGTCTTCAGGATCTGTTTCGTCTTCAGGATCCATCATAATCTCATCGTGAGGAGTGGAAAAAATGTCCAATATAGACTTACCAGGAGTGACATCATAGTATATCATCTCCGGTTGTGAAGGTCTTGGTGGAGTCCTGTAACTGGAGTCTGGGGAAAGGGTAAGGTGAGTGAAGAAGGGTTCGTCAGGATCAGGATGGCTGGCCCCAACAGAGAAGATGTTAGCGTGGATCATTCGAGTCTCGTAGTGATGGGATGGGGGAGGGTGAAGGAGGGAGGACTTGTCGGTGGTAACGGAGTAGCCAGGTTTTCTGTAAACGGAATTCATGTTCGTGTCAAGGTGTGAACTGTAAACTGTAGTTGAAATGGTTGATGAAGTTGAAATGGTTGAAATGAAAGTTGAAACAGTAAAATCCAAAAGTTTCCTTAAACCCCTATTTACCATAATATTCGGACTCTATTTATCATATTGGTCCTTCTTCAAAATTACTGAAACTTACATTTTGATATCGTCCGACAAATTTTCTCTCACCCATAATTCCACCGCTAGTATTAAGTATCTTGTGTTTCAACGATATACTCCACCAACGCATCTACATGTTTTATGTGGATTGGCCACTTTCTGAAAAGATTCATGGTTGCTTAATTAATCATCCAGATATTGAAAGTTGAAACTAAGGAATTTTCGTCAAATTTAATGACAATTTGAGGTATGTATTAACCATAATATTAATAAACAAATAAAGTCACACATTACTATCCCTGCCCTTTTTAAATACTTACATATTTTTCTCTCTAACAAATATGGCGACTGTTTCGGTAACAACCGAGCAGTAGCAGTCTGAGTGTTTTGTGTCATAGTCTGCAAATGCCGTGAATCCATCGCGATTCTCCGCGTTATTATCTTCATCATCGGTATTCATATATCGTAACTCTACAAATTACTAAACTACCGTATTTCACTCACTACTACGCAGCGAAGAAATACGGTCTTCACCGAAGTTGTTAAAATAGTGGCGGATTACCGACCTTTAAAGTAAAAAAATAAGGAAACTTAGTGAGTATTGACGTAGTATTACTACTAGTCAGATGAATTAAGGCCACAGGGCCTGGGTGGGGTCTGAGGCCAAAAAATATTATAATAATATGACACCCTTTGCTTCTTTGGTTCTTAACATTTTTTGCTCTCGTTTTAAGGTACACGTATCCATTGGGTACCAATTGGCTGTCCAAACTCCAACGTCAACAAAACTATTATATACCCTTTATTTTTTGACAAATTGAGGTTCTGTCATATTTTCATAAATTGAGGTTTTTTATTAACGTATTTTCTTTAAAATCAGTCTTTTGGCTCTTCAAATCTTCTTCGAATCATCTTTAAATCCTCTTTAAAACCTATCTTCTCCTATAGCTTTCATCCGTTTCTGCTTAAATTTGGAACATTTGTTCCTGAGATAGCCACAGCCAGGAAATATGAGGCGATTTTTAAAATTGTGTTTCTTACTCTTTTGATAAGGTCAAAAATGTCGTGGAACGTACTCATTGTTAACCATATATCTCAGCTTTGGAGAAGAAATAATGAAAAATGGCTACATAACTCTATTGGAGAAGACCTTGACATAAACTTATCTTTTACAATAGAATTACAGGTAAATCTCAAAATTTGACATGCGATATCTATAGATCATGGGACATTTTTTTTCGGTGAGAACAAAAGAATATTTAGATCGAGCTCTACAACATAATATCTCAAAATCTCAAAATTTTCCTTAACACTGAGACAGTCCAGTTCTACTAAATCAGCTAGTTATCTACGATTCTGGATCATATTCCGGATCATATTCTGGGTCCGTGTAGATCTCATCCACACGGACCCAGAATATGAAGCATATCACAGGAACTGCATAACATGACACAACCAGGTACAGGTGTGATCAGTGATATCCTTTTACTTTACATCACCGTAGTCTACTTAGACCTTACATTTTTAACTGCTTGGTAGGCTATTATAATAGGGGATATTTTGTTAACGGAATTTTAACGGGTGCCATCTTCTCGGCAAACCTTGCTATAATTAGCTGCACAAGTAAACTAAGAGTTTAACGAAAATTCGGCTTGACGAAATTTGTGTAATAATATAAAATTCATTTAGTTTAGTGTTAAGTATTTGTATATATTTTACTCCAGGATCAGAATACGGTAGTAGCTAACATATTTTGTAAAATCTGCTATCTTTTTCTTCTCCATATATATACTGTTGTCCTCGTTTTCTAACAGCACCGAATAGAGTAAACAACTTTCGAGTGCACAAATAATAACGATACATTTTGCTAAACAGCTTTCGAGTGCACAAATAATAATGATACATTTTGCTAAACAGCTTTCGAGTGCACAAATAATGTAAGCTTTTCAGATGTCCGACTATCAAAAGATTTAAGTTCATAACTGCAAAACAATACCCATACAATTTTATACTGTCCCACAATCCTATTGTACCGAGCAGAATCTGCTTTTCTCTGCGGTGAATAATTTCAAAGGTGTTTTCGTAATAAAGGATTAGTTTTCTAGTTGCTCTTTAATCAGTTTCAGCATTCAATACCATATAATAAACAGACACAAAACAGTTTATATTTTAATTAGTCAATCAAATCCTTTGTTTTGTAAAACAAATAAGTTAATTTAAAAGTAGGATCCAGACCTTACTGGTGAAAAGCTCGGATTTTTCGTGGCAAAAATTCGGTTGTTAATCCCATGACAAGAAGGGGAAGAGAGTTCTTGCTGGCGTTCCCATCAAATATAAATACCGAGTTCTTGATAACATTGTTGAGGGACTCAACTCCATATTGGTCTTGATACCACCCATGCATGCTACAGCTCTGTAGGGCATAGCCCATCTCTGAATTAATAATTTTGTAATTTAACGCCTAAACGTACTATAAAATCCAATACAATACCTTCTCCTCCTCAGTCCTTCTCCTCCTCCTCCTCAGTCCTTTTTCTCCTCTTCTCCTTAACCTTCTTCTTTCACCTCCTTCTCCTCATCATTCCTCATCAGTCATCCTCCTCTCAACCTCTGCACAATAGTTTCTCAAAATGCAGAAAAATGGTCGCTCGGACCAGGGGTAGGTGTAGGGGCTTGGTGGGGTGATGCCAGAGATGCAACCAGAGCAGAGCTCAATTGGGAGAAGCCCTCAGCTATATAAGCATTATGTGAGTTGCTAAATGTTATGCCAATAGAGCTATTGTGCTCATAACAACTCCATATTACAGACAAACTATCGGTTATAATACATATAATTAAGAAATGTAAACAATATCTTACCAAACTGATTAGTTTGATCCCTCATTTGGTCTCTTTCTCTGGCATATTTTGACTTGTTTCCATTTTTCAGGCAACTGGCGTCTGGCAGTGACCTTTCTTTTACATTAGAAATATGCACTAAATAAAAGTCCTAGACAATTTATACATTGATATTATAAAAGCAAGGCACAGTTTAATATATACTTATATAGATGATAACTTTAAGAAGAGAAGAGTTAAGATAATGGATAGGTTATTTGTAAGATGAATGGTAGCATACATTTATTGATAATAAACTACGTACCTAAAGTCGAGCCTGACTGTGAGGCCGCTGTCCTCAGTTCTGAAATAACCCTTTCAGTATCTCGTTCCATACTACTGTTGAGGTCGTTTTCAGCCATCACCAAAGCCTCCTCTTTTTCAACCATTTCTACAGATATCTGATTGATTTTTAGGTCAAGGCAAAGTGACTGAATCTGTCACTTACTGTCGTTGATTATGATGTGTTATATATTTTAAATTCAAATACTTATAGCTCTAACTATTAAGCATAAATTATAAACCTCATCGTCGCTTTTCGACATGACATTGGTTGTTGGGTCTTCAGTGCCGAACGAACCTACAGCAGTTCCGTCTAGAAAGCGGATAAATTCTGCATGGCAGTAGATCTTGATGTGGAGTTCATCATTCGGAGCTTGGCCACTTTTTGTGTGCTGAAAACGAAACATTAGGAGGAAGAAAGTGGCATTATTATCGTTTTTCAATAAAGTAAAAATTGTTTTCTTTTCCTTCAATATTTTTACATATTAGTATTACGAGAGAAAAGGTGGAGTAGATTCGACAATAAGTCTCAATTTTATAAGAATTTTTACAGTAAGTTTATCAATATAAACGTAAGTGGTAATAGTAAAAATGCATACTCTTTGCTGCCCTACTTTGCTTAACCATTTAGCATAGTTCTGTTTGTACCCTCTGAAGGTACCCATTACAGTTCCAACTGAAAAAGGGTTATTAAAGTAATAAGGTCTGTCAATCTTGCTCACAGGCTCCCAGTGAAGCAGCCTCCCGTTCTAGAAGAATGGAACCAACATCCACGAAATCCTCAAAATGTACCATAAGTTTTTCTGTTAACTCCGCTGAATGGTCAGGTTCTGATGCTTTTGCTGGGATCAACTCCTTAAGGGCTGTAACATTCTGTTTTTCCTCCCCAAAGCGGGCATTCATATCTTCTATGACATTTCCGACAGCTCTGACCCAAACCTTATGAATTCGCAGCTCTAGCATTTTCTCAACCTGACGGAGTTTTTCCCCGCTTGATTATTCTATCCCGGAGGTGGTCTACCCGTGCAACATTAACATGTGCTCTCATGATATTTTAATTAGTCAATCAAATCCTTTTTTTTTGTAAAACAAATAAGTTAATTTGAAAGTAGGATCCAGACCTTTGTGGTGAAAAGCTCGGATTTTTCGTGGCAAAAATTCGGTTGTTAATCCCATGACAAGAAGGGGAAGAGAGTTCTTGCTGGCGTTCCCATCAAATATAAATACCGAGTTCTTGATAACAT